TTTGCACCTTGGTCATACAGGATTTATATTTTAAAGCATTACCGAAGGCCGGGGTACTCCCTGATATGGGCTAAGTTTGAAATCCCGTTTGACAGATGAATACAGAAGATATCATTTTTGCACTGTATGGGCAGAATGCTGTTTTTTAGAATCATCCTAGTGTTAAACCAGATAAACATTGCCTTTAACATTGGTCTGAACTAGGGAAATTATTATAAGGTTCTGAAACAGGGTATTGATTTAAGGGTCAGGTCATAAATAGGGTGGTCATAAATGGGTAGGAAAATCGGATTTTGGTCATAAATAGGGTAAAGTCTTTTTCTCTGAGCTTGCTGAAGGAAATGCAAAGTCTGAGCTTGCAGATGCAGTCCGCAAGGGAAAGACTATCCCTTAAACTTGAGGCAAGAATGCCACTTTACTTCTTCTACTCCATATAAACGTAAACTGATTGTGCATACAACTTATCATGTTCATAGTTTATATAATAAAATTTATCTCCTTACAATATTGATTTTCTTCTGTTACTTGTCATCACTTGTTGATTTCCCATCCTTTTTAATTCCTTCTGTTCAATTTTACCTGTTATATACAATAGATCAAGTAGGTTGCACAGCTGACAATCTTTGAAATGTGTTTAATATGAACCAAATAAATATACTATGAAGTCTCCGCTCAATTGGAAGCAAGTATCTCCGAGATATTCGCAATTAAAAAATGGCTGTTTTTTGGCCCTTATCTTCGTAGAGCGGTCGGAAAAATTGTCGGAAGAAACAGCTCATCACTGTTGGTCAGTGAAAAAAGGGAAATTCAAAACAGAGTTTTCGAGTCGATTATAAACCTGGGAAGAACAGGCAATTTGTCTTCAAAAGTTGCAAGCTGTGGTTATAACCTTCTTATTATTTAATTTTTCGAAGAATAATATAGTAAAACGGACTTTAACGACATTTACTGATTTCCTTGAGTTGTATTGGAAATGTGCGTGCGTAAGTCCGATTTTTTCAGAAAGTTTCTGGATTTATAAGGTCCGAAGCTCCACCGTGGACACGAAAACAAAATATCTTTGTAATAATAATCTGCCCGAAGAAATTCAAGTTTGCCCACAATGTGTTTGAAGTCACTGAACTTTGTCGCACTCGAGCTGATATTTTAATTTTAAAACCCACGCTCGATCGGACACTTTGATCTAGCTTCGCAGATCACTAAAATACAAACAAAATCCTCAATGTAGAAGTTTTGGCTTTGATATGTGGGCAGAAAAAGAGTTAATCTTTATCTAGTAAATCTTCCCCAAGATCGGTTTCAAAGCAACCATAGTTTTGTAAACTTGATCGTTTCGCGCAGATAAATTTTGCTTTGTGTTGTCAAGTTGAACATGCATAACACCTGTTAAAAACCTACGCGTATAAAAAAGGTAAGATTTCCTTCAAACAAAGTTAAAGTTACATTATTGCAAAAACTTGTTTCCAATTGTGTACAAGATTTGATTACCGATTGAGGTCACTTTAAGGACCATAGACGCCACTTTAAGCTGGCAAAGAGATGCGACAAGCAAAAAAACAATTCCATCATGCATAAAATTCAGCTTAAGTGAACTAAAAAAAGCTTCAATAAGGTTGCAAAACAACAAATTTTCATTAAAAAAACATAAGGCTTAAGGCTCTTATACCTGCTGACAAAGAAGAAGTGAATTTTCTGCACGGAAACAACCTACCTAAAGATCTTAAAAGCAAAAGATCAGTTGCAAGTTTCACAGCCAAGCCATGATTCCGACTACTTAGCTAGATTAGCCACTTTTTTTACTAATAACTGGTCCAAGCAAGGGTCTTCAGTCAAGCAAATTAAACTCAGCAAACTGAATCATTAGAAAATACAGAAAACTGTACATAAGGATTTGTTTTGCTCGCTTCAGTGAAATCCAGCTGGCAAAGAGTCGATTGTTTTGGAGTCACTGCCGGCAGTTGTCGTTCTCCGCTACTTCGCAGCGAGTGAAAGGAAAATTTGCGTACAGAAAGATAACAAAACTATGTAATTAAAACTGAAGAAACTAAAGGGAAAAAACTCTGACTATTATTACTTGAGCAACAGAAAAATGACCGAAGTAGTCTTTTCTTCTCGAGTAAGCTTGCTGGCCTTCTAAAGTTCCGAGGAAGTTTTAAGCGCTCAAGTCGCTCAAGTTTGTTCACTCGCAAGCATTAGCATTATGGTTCTTTGACGTAAGACAAGGATAAAGCTGGTTCTGCAAAGGTAAATAAATCTGGCATGTAAAAAAACTAACTGCAACTACTAATAACAGAATACAAGTGGGTTTTAATTCAGTCCGGCGAAAGAAGGCGAAGCACTGGACACAAAATCAATTCACAAGTCGAATGCACAATTATCAAATACAAACCTCTTTGGAAATGTTCAAAATGTTTTTTGTTCCTCCTCAGTTCTGGTATTTCATTGGTGTTTATGTAATAAAATCTATTTCCTCTCCTTATTGATTTTCTTTCCGCATTGCTCACTTTAATAATCGCATCGTTTTTGTAATGTTCAGCTGTAAGATCTAAGTGGTTCCTCTTGACAGAATGTGCAATTTAAGTCGCCCTGGTATCCCATTTTGGTTGGGGATACATTTGTTACCAAAATTTGATGTAAAAATCTGTCATAGACAGTGGCAGATCCAGACCTTCAAATAAGGGGTGGGGGGAGGGGGCAGTCAGTTTGATCTAAAAATAAGTAAGGGGTGGGGGGCCTGGCCCCCCAAAGCTCTTCGGCTGGATCTGCCACTGATGAAATTCAATCAGTTTAGTACACTCAGTACATTTGTTAGCTATTGTGCACGCATTATGCCAGTTTTTTCTACCACATGATTATATTCTCAACAGTCTTGACACCTTGGGTCTGAGGCCTGATGCATGTAAACATATTACTACAATTTACTACAATCTTCCGTTGTTAGTGTAAATAGTTGTGTTCAAAGCCTTGCTTTTTTTTGGTTATTTAGATGTTCTTTAGGTGTATTGTAATATGTAAAATTATTATAATAAAAAAACTCTAAGTGCAGTGTGTTTGTGCAGTCTGTTCATTAGTTGACTGGTTTCTATAGCCTCCCACGCAGGCATTCTTAGGGCTTTGTCATGCACTCCCCACCCACTTCTACTGAAATGAGCGGTTAAACTGAGTTTCTTTTCTTGAACTTGATGTTTGAAACTTAGCAGACATAAAGAGACCAGGGGGAAATGAAAACTAGTTTTCCTAAGTGCCCATATCCGTAGCAAAGCTAAGAAACCATGGGACACTGGATATTGCATATGTTTGTTAAATATTTATTCCAGAAAAAGCACAGACTATAAGTTGTTACTTATTTTCCTCAGGAGGGGGTTGCAAACCAAGGAAAACTAGTTCTTCCCTTTACTTGTGAGTTGCATGCATGCTTGCATCAGTGTTAAGTGATTTTAATAAAACAAATTATGAGTTACTTTTACCAATGGTTTTGTCCATGAAGAAAGCTTGTGCTTTAATTGTCAAAGGTTTGAATCTTTCTTTTTTTTCATATAATAGTGTTCCTACATTACATTCTAAAATGGCTAAATTGTCCATGATTATTTTTACTGTTATTTTTTACTAGGATTTATAATGTAACACACGGCTTGATGAAAGAGTAAATCTTTTTTGTTAATATTAAATGATACCATAATGATATAATCTATGTAATGTAAGAGGGTGCATTTGGCATTAGTTGTTGAATCCGTTTCTCTGCAAACTTGAAAACCTTCACCAATATCCAAGATTTAATATGCCAAACAAGTTGGCTGCATAAGACATACAAAACAAAACTACTTTAAACAAAATTGAAAAAAACTATGACTTTTTAAAGTAAAGTTTTCCTCCTAGATACTTACAGCCAAGCCCAGTTATGATATACCACTCCTTGATGCAAGATTCGATGTTCAATGCCAAAAACAACCTCTTGAACAAGGCGGTAAAAACACTTGCAAAAGATCTGGTAGTTTGGTGTTACAAAATAGTATGTTTACCTTGATAAAAATGACCTTATAGTACATAAACCGCAAAGACTACCCTGACACTAGACGTGCCCACAAGTCAAAAGCGCAAGCTAGAAATTTTTATGTTTTTGGCGGAAAAGCGATCGCGCTAGGGCCTACTATACTACTGGAACCAGAAACAAGAAGCGAAGGACTTTGAGAAAGTCTACCCTGACACATCAGGACAGACCTTTTACTGTGAAACTCAGATACTGGGAACACCAGAAATATTTCTGAAGGGTAATTGCCTTTCATGAAAAAAGCCAGTTACCTAAGGCGTTCTCAGGTTTTTGACTCGCACAGTAACTCTTCATGAAACCCTATGGTGTTACCATTCAAATGAAACCTCTTTGATGCTTTTGTGTTGTAGGTTATTTATTTCATAAAATGTTACAAAAAGATATTGAGTTTTGTGTATTTTTTTCTCCAAACCCTTTGACTGCAGTTTCCACAACACCAAGACAGATTGTTTTGGCTATGTTTTGGCAGATTGTTTTGGTACTACATACCTAAATCAAGGAAGAAAAACTAAAATGGCCCTACACAAAGATTAGCAGTACAAGTGCTTTGGCTGAAAAATCATTTTGAAGCATTCTTTTTTAGTGGCAACACACTTTTATCCTTATGACCCCAACATCATATACAGCCAACCCCACCAAAGAGGAACTCATTATGAGCAAAAAATTCACTCTTATCTGAAGAGACCTGTAACATATCATTTACTGCCTGAAATCATTACCACAGTTATTAGAAGTGCACAAAAAAATCTAGCTATTTTCAAAGCACTTAATTAGGGTCCTGCAGTATAAAGGTCACATTAAAAAAAAGGTTCAAAAGGCCATTTCTGAATTCCAAAGTGCAATGCCTTTCAAGTTTGATTTAAATAGGAACAAAAAATTATTTTTCTATCAAAGACTTCACATTTCTGCTCAATTTGAAAAATGCCACTCAGAAATGGACTGTTTAACAATGTCAAGGCATTGGTCCACCTTTCCTAATAGCATCACCAACTTGAGATTTGGCACTTCCATCAGCATATCTTTTGTAAGAGGCAATTAATTTTTCATCATCCTGTAAGGTATTTTTTACAGCAGGATCATTCTTGACAGCTTCCCACCACTTGTGGAACCTTTCAAATTCACTGCTTTGCGGCAACTCAAAGCCTCGATAGTGCTTCAGAATGTTAAACCTTGCAGCATAAGGGGCTAGCATGATGTCGACATACAGAAGCTTTTCCCCCTGAAAGAATGGTCCTGTAGGATGCATTGCTTTTGTAAAGGTGAGAAAATGACTTGTCAACTGAGGTTTGATTTCCTCTTGCTCATCTTTACCTTGTTTCATCAGAAGAGCATAAAATAATGGCACTATCTTCTTGCTAATGAAGTCTCCCCAGATCCTGGCATGTGCTCTTTCATACGGATCTTCGGGCAGCAATCTTGGATCACTAGGCCAGGTTTCATCTACGTACTCAATACACACTGAGCTTTCATAAATGGATTTATTATTATGCACAATGACTGGTACCATTCCACGGGGATTGACGGCCAACCATTCCGGGGTTTTGTTGTAAGGATCTTGCTCTATGTACTCAAATTCTGTGCCCTTTGCCAGCAAAGCAATCCATGCTCGTTGTGCAAAGGGGCAAAACCAAGCACAATAAAGCTTTGGGGAGACCTCAGCAGACATATCAACTGGATTGAACCTGTCTGACATGAAAGAATATGGATTAACATACCGTAAAATTCCGAAAATAAGCCCCTCCAAATATAAGCCCCCCAAACCGGAAACCCAAAAACCCTCCATTAAATCGCCCCTCCAAATATAAGCCCACCAGGGATTGTACTTGGAAAATTGCCCTCAAATACAAAGTAAAACCGTAAATTTACTTCCAACTATAAGGCTAGCTTAATCAATTTTGAAATGCAAATTTCCCTCTGTAGATAAGCCCCTCCGAATATAAGCCCCTCCAAAAATAAGCCCCTCAAAAGAGGCCTTTAAAAAATATAAGCCCTGGGGCTTATTTTCGTAATTTTATGGTATTATAAGAAGACTGTTTAAGGATGGTTAACAAAGTGTGCAAGCCACGTACACATGTGGTTTTTAAAGATGAAGGAAGGGAGAAACTCATAAAACTCCTTTTGTGCAACAATGTTGCATTTCCTTCAAGCAAATTTTAGTTTCCATTTAAATTATCATATTTTTCTGATTCAGCAGTTTCTGAACTTGTATGTAAGAGGTACCCTTGTTTTTTTAACCATCAACAGCTGCAGCCCAACATTCATTTCCTGGTTGACGTTTATAAATGCGTGGCCTTCCTTGAGGAAACACAGTCACTAAAGGTTTTGGGTGAGATAAAATATGTTTCAAAGTTCCTTTTATAGTAGCTACAAAGTCAGGGGGTTCACAATGTGGTGATGTGGATAGATTCTCAAGTATGAACTCGTCAGATGCCTTCAAAAAGAATGGAATATAGGGTATAATAACATCATTTTTGTATTCATATGGCGTGATCCGCAGTTCTTTGTAGGAAGAGTTGTAAATTTCTACCATGTTTTCTGCTGCGGTGAAGGTTCGAGCATGCCTTATGAACTCATCTGGTCCTTTGTCTAGAAAAGTTGCCGGAAAAATGTGACCATCTTGGACAGTAACACCGACTCCGTAAATTCGGGGTTTGTGTAAACCCACTTCTACTGTATCATTAAATTCTGTCACACAGGCAGAACTCAAGTGAATGGGTTCACCCTGACTCTGTATAATTTCCAATATGGAAGTTGTAAGACTGTTAGAAGTCCTTCTGTCATCTAAAAATCCCCCGAACAGATGTAGTAGTATCTGTCCACTTTTGTGGTCTGGGCAGCTGGACTTGACAGACGAAATCATGTTCTTAATTCCATTGCACGTATCGTGGCCATCAAAGTGTCCTAAACTAGTCACACCAGATGATGTGTTCTGTAAAACGATTATATGGCAAGTTGTCGCATCTTCCGACCCAATAACAGTAACATTTTCATCATCACGTGCAACAGTTGCAAATTCTCCTTGAGTGACATAAAGAAGACCTCTACTTCCAGTTTTTCTGATGGGCTTCTTGCAAAATTCCTCGGCAATTTCCTTAAAATGCGGATACTTTTTGGCAAAATCAGCGGATGAACGAAATCGCGAGTCCTCAGTCTTACCATCAACTATCAACGGCATCCCGAGTTTATAGCTTACGCTAAACTGTCTACAACGGTTGCAATTGAGTCCTAGGTTGTGTGGACACAAACACAATTTTTTCAAAGCTTACCTTGGGAATCCGGGAATGAAAAACCGTCCATCATGCAATGCGCGGAAAAAGGAGAGAAATGTCTGGAGAGGCGATGCGCCCACGTGGCATGAATCTCGCTAGCTCGGGTAGCAGGCGTCGAAAAACGTAGGAGATTGGGAAAGGGGGATTGGGGAGAGAGGGTAAGGGACTCCCTTCCCTTTTCCCTTTTTCCCTTTCTCCCCCTTCCCCTTCCCTTTCATTGTGCGCTGGCCTGCGTAGCAGGCGTCGAAACGGGTAGGGGTAGGGGATGGGATGTCGGGTCGGGTCGGGTCGGGTCGGGTCGGTCAATCCTGGACTCTACAGTGAGCTGTGACGTCACCGAGAGATACACGCTCAAGCAGGAGCCCAGTAGCCCTCCTGGTTCAATAGACGTGGACGGTGGTCGACTTTTGAGGTTATAAATTGCAGATTTTGGTCTCATTTGGAGTGTTCAGGACGCAAGTTTGTCCCTAGCCTGCGTAGCAAGCGTTTTTGTGCGGTTTAGGAGCAAAGAATGAGGAACAAGAGTCAAAGACCGCGCGAAAAATGGCGCAAGTAAAAGAGCGGGGAGGGGCTTGGGAAGAAAGAAAGGAAGAGGTTTCGTTCCTTCCCCGTCTCCCCCCCTCTTTCCTTTTTTTCGTACTTGTTTCATGCGGTCAAAACCGAAACCCCTTTCCATGGTCTTTTTTCGCTCCGAAACCAAACGGAAACGCTTGCTACGCAGGCTAGTTTGATGGTCTATATAGGTATGTGCCGCTGTGAAGGGTATGGTTTTCAAGCAGTTTACTCTAGGATAGGGTATATAAATCAGATCATTTGGGTCTAGAATAGGGTATCATTTTTCAGGAAACTGATCAGTTGGTTGAAGATTTTATTTAGACTAGGGAAACAGCTACTCTAGGATAGGGGGGATTTGGGGAGTTTACTCTAGTTTAGGGTAGCAAAATCTAGCTGAACTAGCTCTGGTATAGGTTAAGGGTTCCAGGGTCCCAGCGGCACATCTCCACCCAGAAATTCCAAAAGTACCCCCCCCCCCGGGGTTTGTCCCTAATAACACCTGGTCGATGGACTACCCTCGTTCCAGCTTCTTTCCTATTTTCAAACAAAGTGGTTGGACAGACATCTGGCTAGACTACGAGTAGTCCCCCATTTGTCCTCAGAAATAGTAGAGCGCGCGTGAAAATCACCCCACGCGAGAAAAGGCGACACGCGTATCGCCTTTCTTGCCTGGGGTGATTTTCACGCGCGCTCGCGTTTCGCTTGCTCTACTATCCCTGAGGAAAATTGGGGGACTACTCGTAGTTTAACATCTGGCAAGGTTTGTGGACGTAACGGTTAAATGCAGGTCATCTTGTGCTTGATCTGTAAGCAGGACATCATGGGAGGGAAAGTCTGGGGAGGGTATGAAATGTGACGACACAAAAAGCAAACAACATCTGCGTAGGAGACTACTTCCCACTTACCACAAATTTGAAAGGGTGAATCACATGCAAGCCTGATAATATAAACTTACAGCAGTTTTGTTCATTTAAGGTTCCTAGAATTCATTTAGACCTCTGGTAAGACTCATCTGCGAAAATTAGGGGTGGTCCACAGGGGTAGTCCATGAACCGGGTCCATGGAGGGGTCCGTGGACTAGGTCTGCAGGGGTGGTCCCTGGACTGGTTTTGAATACGTCCCTAATAATCAGTGCCCCATAATATCACTTACTAAGGGAGTCATAAGAAGGAGCCCATCAACCTCGTTTTGGCCTCTATCTCCTAAACAGGATATATAGAGAGAATCTGTCCTACAAAGGGAATATGATTTCATGCGAGTCTGTCCTTATTATAATTAAAAGGTTATTCCCCGTCAGATTGCCTGCACGATTAGTTTGATTTGCTCCGATCAGGGGCTCCGATGAAATATGTTTGTACTCCTACAAAAGCAATTACTATAACGTAAATTTGCTCTATTGCAATTGCCAATAAATGGCTTTAAAACAAGACGGCGTGTGCATTTTGTCCTTTGTCCCATAAAAACACAGGGGCACCCGACGATTAGCCTCCCCCGCAGACATTCTTAGGCTTGCGTCACGCGTTCCTTCCCCACGTTCCCCTCATTTTTCTCTCTCCCCGCCGCGTGTCGCCCTTTCTCGCGTGGGGTGATTTTCACGCGCGCTCGCGATTCGCTCGCTCTACTATTCCTGAGGAAAAATGGGGGGACTACCCGTAGTCTATAAACAGGGGTGTGTAGATACTTTTGTGTTTTGGCCATCTAGCTCCATCTTAAAGTTTAAGAAGAAAACAAAAAGCAAACTGCGGTGATAAACATAAGGGAATATAAACGCATTTCTGGAAAGAAAGAAAGACTTGAACTTGACGTTTTGTATGTTCCAATATACATCTTCAGAAGTCATAAACTGTTGAATAACAACATAAATTTAAATGTAGAACTAATTAAATAGACAAAAGATTAGTGAAAAATTTGCATCCAAAAGAAAAAGCATGCAAATTAAAAAAGGTAAAGTTTTTCATTGCTGACATTTTCATTTAGGGAAGGTTGTAAATCCCTAATAAGTAGAGTCTCCTATAGCCTGCAATGGGTGTATGTATTTTAGGATTTTTTCCTAAACAGAAATATCAAAAAATACAAATACTTCCCTGTCGAACAAAACCACGTTCAAAGACAACCCGTCAAACGAACGATTACATAAGAATAATGAACAGGGTGATCAAGGCAATCAACAATCAGTGACAAAGTCACTGTCATACTTTTCATCAACCCTGAAACATAGGAGAGCGATACGCAAAGAAATGTTTTCAAGCTTTTTTTATTTTCAATGGAAAAGAGGCCGTCTGCTAGCAAGCATGGATGCGGTATGGATGCATATAAAAGACCAACAGGGCCGCGCGCCAAACAAACGATTACGTAATAATGAATTGACCAATCAACAATCAGTTACTCGAGAACTCATGGGCGCCTGCGTCATCGATCTTTCCTTTGCATCCATTTTACCGGCGAGGATAGTGTCTTCGTAATCGTCTCGTACATTTTGTCAAATTTGCCAAAGTTTGATCAAGACTTTCTTCAGATAACAGTTTACTATCATGTCTCGTTACGACAGAGGTCGTTCATTTGATCCAGGTAGTCGTTCAGAGCGAAAAAGGTAAGATTTAATTCGACGGGCAGAATTATTACTTGACAGGAAACAACCATCGTTTAGATTAGTTTTTAGACAACCCTGTTTGATTCATCTAGCAGCCAAATCTTTCGGTCTGTGGGAAATATTTTCCTTGAGAAAATGGCTTACCCGAGCTTCTGAAGTATGTTTATACATTAATGCCGAAATCTTTGGCGTAGAAAAGAAATATTTGTGGCGTTTTCGGCAGTGCTGCCGCAACCTCGTGCGACAAGCGGCTTTCTCAATTTTCAATTCATTGCCCACAGAAAGCGTGAAAGTTTCGTAGGATTTTATTAAGCTGGCAGCTATTATTTTTTTTCGTTGAAATTATATCACGTTAAGCTTTTTACCGGTTTATATGTTGGTAAAGTCAGTGTATTTTCTCAGCAAGGTTTCGATCAAAGCAAAAACACGGTGTGGAAAATTCCTTACGGTTAATTTATTATTCAACACAGAAATAAGTTTATTCCAGTAGCTGCAAAAATTTTCGTCCCTCTTTCGTGCATCTTTATTATAGAACAGAATATATAAGTAAGGTACTTTCTCTTCAAGTAACCGTGTTTTAAGGATGTGTTTCAAATCTTAATATACCAAATTAGTGAAAGCTTTGCCAAGGGGAAAATTTTTCGAAAGATGAGGGAAAATTTGATGAAAGTCAAACTGGCTCTTTCTTTTTCTTGTCCAATTTTTTTTGGCACCTGGATGTTCAAGACCAACTCGCTGGATATTTGCATCAAAAGTGAAAGTATCCTGGGACCAGGCTCCGCATTGAGGGAAAAAAGCCAAAAAATGGGGTCAAAGGAAAAATCTCAGCGAGCAAAGTAAGCTGAGCGGTGGCCTCTGGAGGGGTAAGAGGCGACGGAGCCTGGAGACATGCCTTTGATGCCAGTGTTCCATGATACCAGATTCTGGTATCATGCTCTGATTGGTCAAATGCCTTCATGTTGACAGATTAACGGTGCTGTTGACAGTATCACGCTCTTTCAATACACGCTCCTACAATTCGGGATAAGATTTTTCTAAACGTGGATTTTAAGCAAGCAATACAAATTTCTTTGCAAGACTTTTTGCTTATCCCTCGGCTCCAAAAAAGAGCAAAAGAGCCTGTGATCTGTTGCAAAAAGAAAAAGAAGAATTCAAAATATCAAGCTTTTCTTATCCATTCCTGTTATAAACTGTGATCATATTTTCAAAGCATTATAATCACGTTCCTACCAAAAGCGTGATAAAACCCAAAATCAGTGGATATCTGCAAAGAATTCATGTTGTGTACAACCAGGGAGGGAAGAGACGAGGTCTGAGACCGAGAAATGATGTTCTCACAACTTGCAAAGCGGTCACCCTGCGTGGTGGTCAGCGGATAATTGCATTTTTTCCCACAGTAAATATTTTTAGACTTTTTAGAAGCAAGAAGCGAACCGGCAGAGGAAATCAGAAATGCTTTAAAAATTGAAACAAAAAAATATCATGCATCTTTGTTTTTCTTGCATATCGTATTTGTCTTTCAGTACTGACATTGCGGGGGAAACTAAAACGTAGCGGTGTTTAAGAGATCTTAACCAACAGCAACGCGCTCGATCGATTTATAGGTTACATCATTTTTGCAGGGCAATGATAGCTTGATGCTGATAAAAATTACTGGAAAAAGTGTCAAATTTATCGGAAGCAAGTATATTCAGAGAGCTTTATAAATATGAGCTGAACTGAATGAACATCCACACTTCATAACATTTCACTTTGTTTATTACGATCAGTCAAAAAAATTCAAAACGATCCTAATAAACAAATCACAATTACTACTGAAAGCTCTGTACCTTGAAGCGACTATAACTTTCCTAAGGTTTGCAGCAAAACACTGCTCGATAGCTCAACTCTTCGGCGATTCTTATCAGCTATACGGAGCTATATGTTGCATATTCCAAACCCTGCGGAGGGAAATTGTTTAACAAAAAAAGAAAACCACACACTATGTCTGAAAAGTGACATAAAGTCAATAAAATAGCGAATTACCAAAATGTAATAGTGAGAAACAGTCCCGCCTTCGACTGCCATGCTTTTGTTTCTTCTCAAGACCGTTGATTTATGGTTTTGACGTAGTGCGCATGATCACTACACAAATCCGCTGGCAAGAACCTTGCTGATCGCTTTGCAAGTTGTGAGAACATCGTTTGGATTTCATTTAAGAGAATATATGGGAAGTAGCTTCCCCCCCCCCTGTGTACAACTAAGCCTTGTGCTTGGAGAACGTGTACCTCTTAGAATCCTTCTTGATGTTCTTTTGTGTGTTCAGGTTTTCTAAGGCATCTTTTTGTGCCCTGACATCTTCTTTCATGGCATTTTAAAACTTCGTCGCCATCTTGACACTGAGGCGTACGGAAGGTTGCCATGGCAATTTTGTAATTTCACATGTGAAATTACAAATTAAGGCTGAAATTTCTTGCCAAAATTAAGGAGTAATTCGTCACCTATGATATTAAACCCCAAATCAGTGAATATCTGCAAAGAATTCATGTTGTGTACAACTAAGCCTTGTGCTTGGAGAACTTGTAAGCCACAGCTGTACAAAGATACCCTGTGAGCAGTTGTTTCTATCTTGTGTGGCTCTTGTATCATTTTCAAAATGATTGAAGCTTGAGAAACAGGCTCCTGGCCTTTACGTGGTGTCCCAAAAACGGTTCAGTTAGCATAAAATGGCTCTTGTGCAAAAAAGGTTTGGGTCCTCAAGCTATCATTTTGAAATTTCTTTTGTTTACGTGTGAGTGGAAAGTGTAATTTATGCCTCAGTCAATTCCAAGCATGAGTAACCCCCTGTAGGGGAATGGGGGAGGCTTCTTTTCCTTTGGAAGTTTCAAATACCCCCCACAGTGGGGCCAGCAGATACATACAAACACCCCACAGTGGAAGTTTAAAGATGTGAACAAATGCCCCACTACAGGGACAAAGAAAAAGTCATGTTTCCAAGCAAAAAGCTTAAAATTGCAAATCTATGGGTAAGTAAGTAAACTCCCAACAAAAGAGCGCTCAAGAAAAATCAACTTCAGTATAGAATCTTGATGAGCTGAGAGTTTTTCTAATACTTCAGACAGACCCTGAAGAAGAATGTTTTGACTGTAAACAGGCTTTTTAATCAAACACAATCTTTTAATGAGTGTGGGGCACTTGAGCGATTAAAATATAATATAATAATGTCTATATATTTTTTCAGCTTTGGTGGTGGTGGATATGGTGGAGGGCGTGGTGGTGGCAGGGGTGGAGGTGGAGGTTTTAATTCTTCATTTCGTGGAGGTGGTGGAGGAGGAGGTGGATTTGGTAAAAAAGACAAATTGAATAACCAGCCTGGTCAGTTCCTCAGAAAACCAAAGTGGGATCTTGATGCTCTGCCAAAGTTTAAAAAGGACTTTTACCGGGAACATCCAAATGTTCAAAACAGATCAATGGTTAGTAGATTCTGTGCAATATTTTAGTGCCTTTTTTTCTTGAGAAAATGTACTGAATCAAGGTCTCTTTATTGACTTTGTATTTAGCAAGAAATTGATGGTTATAGACAACATTCTGAACTGACTGTCCATGGAAGGAATGTACCAAAACCAGTGTTTGCTTTTGAGGAAGCGGCTTTTCCAAGTAAGCATTGTGTTAATAAACTGATTTATTAAAATAATAATGCATTAAAAATTAAAACATTAAATGCTGTTCTCTGGCTACGTTCCTATTTTCTCCTGGTGGTACTATGTTGCTCCTAATGTTATTGCTATACCATTCAAAAGTAGGTTCACATCTGGTTTGTGGAAAGATCTGATTGGATCAATATTTCAATTTTCTTTTCCAGACTATGTCATGGATGTCATTAGGAGAGAAGGTTTCCAGCGACCAACAGTCATTCAAGCACAGGTGATTTGTATATTAATATGATTGTTACATCACAAGAAAAACTGGAAGTAAATAGGATATTTATGTTGTGTACTTTGGACACAATATTTGTGGAGTATATTTTTTACAAGTGCATCTGCTAAAAGCTGCTTGACTCACTGCACCTCTAAAAATGGTATATTTCTTACTGAAAGTCTTCTTGTTCTTTTGATTTAGGGTTGGCCAGTAGCACTGAGTGGTAGAGACCTTGTTGGGATTGCACAGACAGGATCAGGAAAAACAATATCAGTAAGTTGCTTAGGAAAAACAGTTGTTGTGGTCATGGGTCTTTTGACAATAGGTTACCTGTGTCCACAGAACTTGAACATTTTGAAATAAGACTTGGTTATTGATCATTAGAAATAATTTTCCATTTGATCAAAAAATAGTTGCAGCTGGATAAGGCTAGACAGTCTAAATGGTCCGTATAGAGATGAACAGTAAATTTATTCCAATATTGCTTAATAAAACTGCTAAAGTAACCGGTGCAAGTGTGGCCCAGCATGATAGGACCCTTTTTTAAGGTTAATTTTAAGTTTATGCTAGGATTGTTTCTTCCTAATGTTATGTCTGCTTTACTGTAGTTTATTCTTCCTGCAATTGTGCACATCAACAATCAACCACTTCTTCAGCGTGGAGATGGTCCAGTGGTAAGTCTGTTCTTGTTTTTGGACTCAAACAAGGCTTATTGTTATTGTTATTTTTGGTGATTTTTAACCTTATGGCAAGTAAAAAGTTAATTAATGGTGCACATGCCTATAATAACCCTTCCCCTCTAATATGAGATCTGCTGCAGACTACAGAGAACTAGAAAAATAAAAACTTGAATGCCGACTTGTCAAAGTTTTTGAGAGTCTAAGGTTCATCATTGGTTATCTTTTCAGGTCCTTTGCCTTTGCCCGACAAGAGAATTGGCTCAACAAGTACAGCAAGTGGCCATAAATTATGGAAGGGCAGCTAAAGTCAGGAGTGTGTGCATCTATGGAGGAGCACCCAAAGGACCCCAAATTCGAGAACTTGAAAATGGTTAGCAAATAAGTTAACGGACATTTAAGCAAAAGTCGTATACCCAAGAACACATTATTTTTAGTGATTCTAAAAGTAAGGTTTGATAGAGGTGTTGAATTCCCCTTAGATGTGATTAAAATGATTTGGTTGCTCTAAAACAGATTCTGTCATTCAACAGGGGAGCAATACTTAGTTGATTCAGAAGCATAGTACCCTGAAGTGGATAACTCCGTTCCAATGCGGAGGTTTTGTGGAGAACTAATCAAAATTTACTTCCTGATATGGAATTAGCGATATGTGAGAGTGTCGCAGTAGTGTTATGTAAACTCTGTAGAGTGATATCAACGAAGCAAAACAAAGAGCAATTATACACAATGTATAAGGTTTGATCAAAATTGGAATCTTAAATGACCAGGATTTACTTATTCTGGACAAGACAAAGTCAGCTAATCATGATTAGCATCTTTTGGGCTAGGAATAACTTGGTGATGAAATCTAGCACATGTTCAAAAGAGTATGGGTTACATGACCGTTTTTTTGTTTTTTTTGTTTATTTTTTTTACTTGCTATCTTTAAAATTAATATTAAGAGCTATGCACAAAGTCTGTGCAGAGAAACCTAAAGCATGTTTTGTAATGAACAGAGACAGAAAACAAGTTATCAAGCATGAAGAATTTTTTTTACGGAAAGTCTTCGCAACGAAAATTATTCGTAGGCGTGCAGCTTAGCACCGGCAAATGACAACACACTGGCTCCACTACCTGTAAACATAAATGTTTTTGTCCATTGATTATGTTGTATAACAAATGTACACAGCTCAACGTATGCAGTTGAGTCATGGATGTACTTGGAGAACTGTCAAGGACTTGAGGAATTTGTTATTAGCCACTTTTTAGACAGGGATGCCTTCAATTTTCTGTTTCCATATTTGGGCAGAAAAATTCCCATGGTTCTGATTGGACAGGTAAAAAACCTCAGCTTAGTTTTGAACAAATAAGGGGAATTTAGACTCTTTAGGGTCATTTGTTTCTGATTGATAAAATAATCATTTGTTCCTCTTGTTTAAATTATTTGCTGAAGATAAAAGCGTCATGTGCAGGGTGTATAGAAAGTCACTTTTACAGCTCGCCATTTGGGCAAGCTGCAGCTAGCATGTACTAGCCCAAAATTCATTTCAACTGCCCCAAAACCTTTTTGATTGGCAGGATTGATTACACAGTTCTTTTGTGATTTAAATTCCTTAAAAAAACTTCACTTGCCTGTCGGGTAAGTTAAGAACAGAATTCATTAGCCCAAAAGCACAATCCTCTAGTCCCTTTCAACAATGGAAAGTATGGCATTGGATTTCAGCCCTTTGATTAATTAGTAAAATAGCATTCTTAGATACCAACTTTGGCTTTCATGTTCTCAGCTTTTACTGAAGGAAAATGCTTATTTTTTGGAATTTGTGTACAGGTTAAGAGTACATTTCATATAAGCCTTGTCAATTTTTGAACTTATAGCAGTTCTAATACCTTAACATTTGCCTGGTTTTAAAATTTTTAACTATCTTTGGTGAACTAAATGTTGCTTTGAACAGTAAAACCTGGTCCTCTGTAGCAATGTACATAAGCAGTAGCACAATGCAAGCATAAGCATGAGCTAATGTGATAGTGGGAATGGCCTAGACATCAGCTTTAGCATAAGAACAAGCGTTTGTGATCTTCTTGTGATCATGTTAAGGTTCTCCTCACTAGTGAGGACCATGTTATAACAATGCTTATGCTAGCATTGCTAGTGAGCAACAGCCCTAAGGCCTGTGATTTTTACTCTTTTAGGTGAGAATGGTAACTTTTGGTCTTTCAGGTGTGGAGATTTGTATAGCTACTCCAGGAAGATTGATTGACATGTTAGAAGCTCGAAAGACAAACCTGAGACGGTGTACTTATTTGGTTCTTGACGAGGCAGACAGGATGCTTGACATGGGATTTGAACCACAGATCAGGACAATCATTGAACAAATCAGACCAGATAGACAGACACTTATGTGGAGTGCAACATGGCCTAAAGAAGTACAAGGTCTGGCATCTGATTTCCTGCGGGATTATGTGCACATTACAGTCGGCTCATTAGGTCTTACTGCAAACCACAAAATCTTACAGATTGTGGATGTGTGTGATGAGACAGAAAAAGACTACAAGTAAGTTTTGGACCTTGAGTTATGATTATCAGTATGTTGTCATGCCAGGGTTTTAATGTTAAAGAACCCTCTTTTTATACATCTTTAATATGACACAATTGAGTCAAGACACTTGAAGAGGGAAGAATGACTTTGAGCTTCTATTATTTTATAACATTCAGGGCCTGGTTCCTTGGAAGACAGTTTAGTTTAACCCGAGATTAAGCCAAACTTTAAGCACAGTTTTCTTGTCTGATAACAGGTAACTCCAGCGTACAAAATACTGTTAAACCTTGACTCTGAGACAGAGTAATGATAACACAAAATGTTACTCTGAGCATTGCGTAGGAAGGTACGTAAATACAAAAAGTAGAACAAAATTTTAATCCTGGATTAGCGCTTATCGGTCTTTCAGGAACCTGGCCCTGGACATCAATATTCTTATTGCTCAAGGTTACTAAGATTACAATGTAAAGGATGCTAATTTGGTTTTGTTAATTGGGTTGATAAAACCAAATCTTTATACATGTATTTGCCCCTGGATGCAGCAGCACAGTTTCTTTAAATAATGTTACTGTGTACTAGAAAATTTCTAGTAATATATTTTCAGGAAAAGATTTCACAGGGCGGAAACGTGGTCATGTTTGTGTAACCTTATTTGTTACTAATATTACTAGGCTAATCAAGCTTCTAGAGGAAATCATGGGCGAGTCAGAGAACAAGTCCCTTATATTCACCGAGACTAAAAGACGAGCTGATGAATTAACAAGAAGGATGCGTAGAGATGGGTATGGTTATTCTTTATTTGCTGCAAATGTTAGTTTTGTTTTTATCTGAAGAGCACTGATGACTGTTCAGTTTTTCTGAATTCTAAATGTTGACCACATTGAATTCCTCGTTACTGATGCTCTTGGTATTTTGTTTTGTTTTGATGAATGTTATAAGATGATGTGTATTGAGTTATCATTTTCAATTTTAGGTGGCCTGCTATGTGTATTCATGGAGACAAATCTCAACCTGAAAGGGACTGGGTATTAAATGGTAGGTTGAATCTTCACTCATTAGGGTTGGTAACATTCAGGTGCCTCCACAGAATGATTGCCACACTGATTGTTGTAATCACAAGAGTCAAATAAATAACTATTGCAAAGTAGCCAACATTGAATGCAAAAGCTCAGGCATCATGCAGATGCTGCCCTTCCTTGTGCTTGATCTTGAGTATGTTCACTAGAGGAAAAGAGCAGAAAGACAGTTTTTCTTAATACAGGTTTCAGGTAAAAACATGCAAGCAACAACTGCTGCAAGTTATGCAGCAAAGACTGAGCGTCCTGTACATACTGTGATGCTATTTTAAAAGGTTCAGCTAGTAGGGACCATAAAGAGACTACTCTCTTGTCATATTATTTTGTGAAAGTATATTTTTGACATACTTATAAGACCTCAATGGATGTTAATTATTTTATCCATCTTTTGCTGTGCAGAATTCAGGAAGGGCAATGCTCCCATCTTAGTTGCTACTGATGTTGCCTCCAGAGGATTAGGTTTGTTGAAAATACTCTGTTTTTTTTCCTATACTGGTTTTTCCCATTTAATGCAAGCAGTTAGAGTCCTTTTGTTTTTATGTGTGGCTAAGATGCAGAAACCTTTGACTGATATTTTGTACCATTACTTGTAGTTAGATTCTAGCATAACTAAAATATTTTTGCTTGTACTTATGCACTAACTTTACGACTTATTTTTTTTAACCCTGTAGTAGGTTTATTAGTTTGTAATCGGAGGGTGCACCATCCATGCTGTGGTTACTAGTTGTCCTTGATTGGAAGGAACTGTGCATGACCTGGGTTTGTCAGCTGAGCTGGAGGGAGAGGAGCAGATGTAATGCCGTACGCTTCTGTTGATAGGTTCTCCATAAATCACTATCCAAAATTACTGTCACAGATTACCAAAAATACTCATAAGTACATGTATTAACTGCAATCTTGTGGGCCACTGTCAGATGCACACATGCATACAGATGTAAACATTTTTTTATTTCAGGAAATCTGTAGCCATCTCTCAAGAGATATATTTGACTTAACCTTCAAAGACTTTCTGTTTGCATGCCTTATTGCTCAGTGTGGTTTTGAGAAGCCAAGAATTCTTTGCATGTCATTTTACTTTATAGCTATGCATCTTTTCCTCAGTTTGCCTCCTTTTCTGTAAAGATGAGTCGAGGCAATGCAGTTTTACAATAACATTTCCTTGAGGAGGAAATATTGCTCCTCTAAGACATGATCTTGTATCAAGCCTTGAGTTTCAATAAAAGTGCTAAAATGTGTACATTGGAGTTGTGTTTGATGTTGTACAGATGGAGTGAGGTTCCACAGTAGTGTAAGCATTTGTGGAGCCTGGCAGATTCAGCTGACTGCTGCATATTAGTATCTGTACAACCTCAAACTTTAAGTCAAAGTCCACTGCTCTGACTTATTAGTTTTGAAAACAACTCCACGAATAATTGGTGTAACAGAAAAAAACATACAAAGCAAGTATGCCATTGTTTCGACTATCCAGAATAGCACAAATTTTGAAATCTGTAAATGTCTAAAAGAAAAACAGTAAGCCAAAGCACTGGACATTGACTTAAAAGTTCAGTGTAGAGGTTGCATAGTTGAAATAATGATCTTTCAGAAGATGTTTATTAATATTTAACTTTCCAAAAGTTTTAGGCGAGTGTTGCAGGGGAGGTGATTTTCAATGAGAATTAAAGAAATACTTGTAATCCAAGGTATTTTTGTTGACAATACTAATGCCCTCAGTATAACATGTGCACCTTTGGCAAGGCTACTAGTTAGTTGATTTGGAACTTTCAGATTTTTGCAATGGCATAATGCTTCTCTTGAAAATATTGAATTATTTTGCATTGATTACGAAAGTAGTTTGTATCGGGAAATCAGGTTATTTCTCTTCTTGTTGAAAGACCTCCTGTCTGTAGACATGCATGTTGTTTGCAATGCAGTGTTGAATCTAAAGGGCCCACAATGTTTGCATGACTGATCATAAGACAGGCAGCAAGGCAAAGCTGCACTGCCTCTAGAGTCCCTTATCTCTGTTCCTTCCCTCCCAATCATCTGGATGCGCTGAGTCATGGTGTGGTTCCTGCTTCAAGTGTAACCTGGTGAACATTTCATGCCGGCTCCCAGGGCAGAAACAACCTCCAAAATATCACACAATGGGACAGGTAGCTTACTAGTTACTCAACAATCCAGGCAAGTTTGATTGGACAAAATAGATGACAGGCTACCTTATGGCCAAGTCTACATTTATTTATGACTACTTGCTAATGTTAAGTGGATTGGAAGGGTTGCAAGAAATCCTTCAGTCCAAATAAGTGTCACCGTTTCATTTGGAACACTGTACCCACGTGAGTATGCAGGTACTGTTTCTGACATTTGCAACAAAATGTATCATTAGGGAGCTGGCATTTCTGTTTTGACGCCCTCTTTTTATTGTGCGAGTGGATTATTGGCATGCATTAACTCACTTCATTACTTCATTGCAACATTCTTTTAGATATCTCTGACATCAAATTCGTCATCAACTTTGACTTCCCAAGCTGCTCTGAAGATTATGTGCATCGTATCGGTCGAACAGCGCGTTCAGATCGTACTGGGACATCATACACATTTTTCACCACTGGAAATGCCAAGCAGGCAAAGGATTTGATTTCTATATTGAAAGAAGCCAACCAGCATGTCAACCCCAAGCTCATGCAATTGGCAGAACAAGCAAAGGGAATGTTTGGCAGAAGTAAGTGTAACCATACCTCACTCTGCCTGTAATATTGGATTAACGCCATGAAAACACTTAAAAGATTCTTCAGGACTACAACAGGGTTTAGAGAAGTTCTTGTTCAGGGTTCCTTAAAACAGAACATGATATTGTAAATTTATTATACATGTAGCAAGTAACCAAAGATTTGCACATCTTGCTTTGAAAAAAATGTCAGTGGTTCTGTACTTTCAGACTTGCCGAGATAAACAGCAACCTTTTCACATTTCTATTCAAGTATATTTAACAATTATTCCTCGAGCCCGAATGGGCTATTGAAAATGTCAACTAGTTGTTCTGTAAAAAAAAAAAAATAGCTTCTAGACTTTAATCCTTTTTTTTTGCCCCCAAAAGCCCGCGCTTTTTGAGATAAACATATAACCTTTTCACCAATTCTTGATTCCACTAGTTGGATTTTACTAAAATACCATACTCCTCCTTCAGGAATAATACTAAATAAACATGTAAAAGGGCCATTTTCTTGACAATGCAAGTTGACTAATTTCAATTTGTCAATCTCACAGAGATTTACCAAACCATAGCCCTGATTTGCACATGAAAACAGCAATCTGAAGGATTCTGGTAGTTGTGGTCAAAATTTATGGTGTCATCATACAAAATTCCTATTGCAGAATGAAAGTAATATTAATTTTCATTTCAGATCGTAGCCGTTACCGTGACAAAAATGCCCAGCAAAGCACTGGTGGTTCTTTTAACAGAAACAGCTATGGAGATGCACGTGGTGATTCCAGAAGTGGAGGTGGTAACCGCTCTGGTGGATTCTCCGGTGGTGGTCGGGGACACTCTGGGAGAGGGGGTCACTCCAACAGGAGTGCAGATTCACGTGGTGACAAAGGAGGCTATGGGGGAAGGCATCAGCCACAACAGAATGGCTCATGGAGCCACATGGGTGGACAGCAGAACAGTATGATGGGAGGAGGATACAATAGTTACGGCAGTACTTATTCACAGCATCCACCACCCCCACCCCCTCCAGGGCCCCCACCCTCACAGCCAAGTGCACCTCAACCGTTAATGCAGCATGGCCAACAGCCACAGTACACCCAACAAGCCAGTGTATACCAGCAGACGGCCTACCAACCCTACCAGCCACAGGCTACCAATGCTGTCCAAGGCCAAATACAACAGGCTGCTGCATGGGCCTACCCTCAACAGACCTAAGCATTCAACGCTTAATAACTGACTGTTATTAATACAAACTTTTTTCAATATTTTGTATATTTATTAGAATGATCACTGTACCAGAGGTGAAGATGTGATGACATTAAGTCATTTTAGAAGCAAGCAGTGTTACAGCCAAGTTTTTATTTCTTGTGAAAATTAAATGTGCACTCATTGTGCTTGATCTAAGAGTTTTGCTTGCCCAGAGGCTCATTGGCATTACAGAAAACTAGGGCTTTTTGGCATTTGATTTTAAATTTTAATTAAGTTTCTCTTGATGTTTTTCTTTTTGGAGTAGACAATCATGATCTGTTTTTAGAAGTAATGTAACTTCAGCAAGCAATGTCTCTTCAGAGACTTTGGAAATGGGACATGTCATGAATTAAATTTAGTTCACTGAGTAATTATTTTGTCGTTGTTTTGTATTATGATAATACAATAATATTGCAAAAACTGAGAAGTGGTCTCAGAGTTTGTAGGGCCATCCAAGAGTCCTTATTAATTTTTATCTTTTCTTGTTGAATAAGTGCTCAGTCAACTGAGTTTTGTGGAATTCACCTCATGATCCCTTCCCAAGCTAATACCGCTTTGCAGTGTCCATACAAACAAGGCCTTTTCTGCTCTCTCAATGGACACCTAGACAACACCTCTTTAGATTCTCCTGATATAGCAATACAAAACAAATTGGTCACTAACCCAGGTCCAGCACTGCTTTCTTTTTGGCCAAAATAACGGATTGTTTTGATTAAAGGGGTTGAGCAGACATATCTTATATTGTGTTTTTGTCTTATTTTACTGTAGTATGAGATCTTCTAATCTGGGGTTTCCAAAATTGATTAGCCGCAGACTGTAGCTCTAAACAGGTGCGCTAAGTAACCCAATGGTTTCTCTTTCTATTTCTATTCAAAAGCATTTTGGCCTACAGGATAATTTTCACTAGAGCAGGTCTGTAATTTTTTGAAAACTTCCAATCATCAACTTTAGTGGACAAAAAACCTGAATTAAAACTAAAATGGGTTTCTCTTTTTATGTTCAAAAGCATTTTCTCGGAAACCTGAATTTTAAATCTTCCAACCCAAATTGGGACAAAAAGAATTATCTTAACCTTTCAAATCTGAATTCTTTTTGAACAACTCAGCCCAGTACCTTAACCTGACTTTGCCCTGCGTTTTGTACCTGCCACTATGTAAGCCCATGTTGAAGTATAAACAAGGAAGGGATTTCACTAGTTGAAGAATCGTGAAAGTGTAGGGAAGGTACTCTACCAGTATTTGGGTATAGGTGAGCCACTGAAGGTTTGAAATCCTGAACCTGTTGATTATGTAACTCAATAAATGTCGCCAGACTTACTGGCCTTACACTGCAAGTTCATGTTTGCCTTTTGATATTTTATTCAAGGACAGAGAGCAGGTAATTCTTACTTACAACACATTGTTTAATTTCGAACACATACAAAAACATTGAACACTCTTTTACTAATTACCTCGCCTCAATATTTTTAGTAAAGCTGTACTCCAGGACCGTTCAGGTTGCCTGGACACCGACAATGGTGTCATATTTCACACCTTGGGTACCTTACATCAGTGTGAAAGCCCGAAATGCAAGCATTCACAATTTTGCTCAGTTTTGGATTGCGGGGAGTTATGGGTATGCAAAATAGCAGATTACCTCACATCTAAAAGAAAAAAGGTACACACAGGGCTTCAGGGCCAAAATTCTGACCTGAGTACTTAGAAAAAGGTGTGTTCACATTTGTGCGCTGCAAGTACCGTACTGATGAGCACAGTGCCAAGGCATTTTATGTAAACAAACCCTGCATTAGCAGACACCTAATAAATTGGAGGTCTGTTAGTGTCCACATAATAAAGGTTTCTGAGATTTCTCGTATCATCTTAGAATGTTGCAAACTTGCAATTAAGGCAACATAACAACTGTAGAACAGATATTCCAGTATCGATTATTATTATAATTATCAAGAATTAGTCCTAAATGGCAGGGCCAGCCCCAAAATGCGACAACTCCTTTCCCCATAAAAAAAAATAACTTGTTAAATCTGATGCAAATTGAATGAGAAAGCTAGATGGTAGCTGGTGTCCAACAGAAACTCTTGAAGAAACATTATATGCTGGTTTGCAATTTCTAGTGATTTTGTTATTAAATAAACTGCTTTTTCAAATTTAAGGACAACAAAACAAGACTCAAGTCAATGCTGTCACTAAGATTGAAAGTGGTGGGTAAAAATCCCTCCTTCCCTCTGGCAACTATATAAGTCTGACCTGAAAAGGGATGATGAGAACATGAAATTAAAAGTGAGATCTCCAAAAAATAAATCTTGGTAAGGTTCCATAATAATATTTTGGGGGATAATGCTAGTTCACATAGTTTAAATCTCCAATTGCTCAACTTCTCACTCACAGCAAATTTGACCCCACTACAAGTATTAATTTACAACTTACTGTTTATTGTCTACTGGGACAAGAGAGGTTTCAAAGTCTCCTTAGTAATTACTGGAAATCATTTGAAGTCAAATCAAATTTAATTAAATACTCCGTTATTGTCAATTCCCTGTTATCATTTTCCACGTACTTGGAAATACATAGCCTGCACAACAGGCAATACTTTTTAGTGTTTTCCTGACAAGCATTGGCAAGAGTGAAGTGCGCAAAGACCGCCATACACAAATGGTGGAAGGCATGGGGGCAATAACGTCCTCCCTTTTTGTGCATTTTTGGCACTTCTCGCTCACTTTGCTCTCGCCTTCTCTCCTGAAAAATGCAAAACAATAATGCCTGTTATGCAGGCTAGGAAATACAAACCAAAATAGTTTGTAAAGGTGCCACAGTATGTACACTGAATTCCATAAATCTCACATCACACAGTGTAAAAACTAGACATAATTCCATGTACCAATGAACCTGCACAAAATTCTTGCATATAAGGATATAAATATGAACAATATAAAATTACTGTCTTTCTTAAAATTACTGCAACTATTAACTGGATTGTTCCATTTCTTGAAGGATGGGCATTATCCATTGCTTGGTATCAAAACTACTTTCGGCATTGTTTTCCTTTAGGAATTCATGTTCCTACAAGACAAAAATAAAATATGTACACCATTTGAGTTGGTAAAATATTCTTCACCTTGTTTGCCTTCAATAGCCCGGGGGCGATTGTACACAGGCTACGTTGTAGCCTTCTAACGCTATCAAATTAACTGAAATTTATGGATGAGAGAATTAACAATGCTGTCTGGCTTTTTAACCATTTCTGGGGTGTTAATGTAAGAAATTCACATTGTCACAAGCTAATTGCGTGGCATCTCAGACTTAATAACACTAATTACTGCACATTTGTATTGGTAATAGCATGATTTGTAGTGATATTTCAAAATTGTTACATGTAATTTCACGAGCCGATAGGCGAGTGAAATTTGAGACAATTTTGAAATATCATGAGTGGTATTTATGCCAAATATCTCGTACAGATCATGCTATTATTTGTTTATACTACTAGCTGCAAAAGGTTTGTAATTTTCACATGTAGGTATTTCAAATTAAGCTGAAATACCACTGCTCTAAGCCAATCAAATTGCAGAAATTTCTCATGTAGTAGTATAAACAAGATAACACCCCCCACACTTTAACCTAATGAGACATTACAGACTTGCAAAATAAAAATTTAAACATACTACAATTTATTCAAAAGTAGTAATGACACTTGCTCTGAAAGACACCAACAGCCATCATTTCACACTTTCTTGGAAGAAAGGTAAAAATGAAATAAATAAGAGTATGCCGACTTTCCCTGCAGGTAGCCTGTAGGCCAAAACAGCTTGGTATAAAGCAGAAGGGGAGGGTAGGGGTTCAGTTTGTTATGTAACCCAAAATAGACACTGTGATTGAGATGGAAGTGTCTTAACAATATTTTGATGCTAATAAAAAAATTGTAAAATATAATAAATCATATCATTACAGATTAACAATCAGGGTATTATTTTGATGTACCAACTTAAATAATCATTAATTTTGATGCTGTAACTTACCAAAAGTGATACATAGTTTGGTCTTTCTTTGTAGTCTTTTTTTAAGCTGTATGAAAAAAGGAGAAAAAGAACAAAATCTTTCTTAGGTCAAACAAGCATGTGAAAGTAAAAGGTAACTAATTCTGTTGTTATCAGACCATAGGGAGAGTATAGAAAATTTTGATTAAGGACTTGCCTAATAATATTACCTGTTATTTAAAAATAAAAGGCAATTGCATCTTTAAAAATTCTGTGGATTAATGGCTAGGTTAGAATAAACCTTCCTGGGTAAGGTTCAGCTAGGCAAGTCACTAGCGTAAAGTTTAGAAAAAAAAATCAACTATACCATTGAACCACAAAATCTCTGAATTCATCTGAGTATGGCCCATCGTCAGGAAGGGTTGGTGAAGGTTCATGTACAACTTGCTTGAGTTGTTCAAATGGGGTTTTCCACTGCGTGTAAGGAAACTTCCCTGTTGCTAGTTCAATCTGTAATAAAAAATATATATATATACTTCATATGGCTATGAAACATTTCTAAAGCCTTATGCTAGTGTGTGAAAATTATTAAGACATTATGTGGGATTTCCAGAAGGTCACATAATTTGAAAAATTGTAATAATTACTTCTCTAGAATAGAGTTGGCATAGAATACTTGCCGTCATCAGATTCATAACAAATAGAGAGAGACACACATCCCTATGTATATGGTGGTGGACAAATAATGACCCCCAGTCTACTGACTACCCTTTGAATAGGCTATAATGGTACATACATGTACATATGTATATCCAAGTAACTATCAGTTAAAATTACTCAAGAGGTAACCCACTGGGGTAGTCCACTGACTCATGGGGGTCAGTGTTTTGTCCACCACAATATTGCTCTTCTGATGTTATGTAATTTGAAATGTCTGACCCGTAAATCAGTTCTAGAAAATTTACATACTAGACAAAGTTACCTACAATAGAACTTATTCAAGGCTGTTTGTCTTTGGAAACACACCCCTGATTACTTTGCACAAGACAGGTGAACTAGCTCCCCTGATTTCATGCAAAAGGAAATTCAAAACTAAGACAGCAGGCAGAAAATTAAATAAGGGGAAAATTAGTTTTAGACAAGTCGTACCATAGTTATTCCAAGGCTCCAAATATCTGAGCGAATGTCGTAACCTTTCATGTCCCTGGCTGGGTTAATTCTCTCAGGCTAAAATCATAAATTATAACATAAAATGACTACGATGCATCAACAACTTGAAAATTGATCATTTGAAACAATTTTTGTAACTGTTACAAAGCATGCTATTCGGCACAGTTGTTTCGGAACTCACTGTTTCTGTTTTTTTTTTTTTATATATATCACGAACACCAGAATTAGACTAATCTCAACTCTCTTTTATAATGACATCACAAGGAATAACATGTCAGTTATACATCAGTTTTCTTTTTTGATTAAAGGACATATGACTGAATAGGTTGCCGTTTAACTGGGACAGATCAGAAAAGTTGTTGGACATAGAATAAGTTAACCTTTTTCAAAAAAAAAATCCCATCATTTCTCTGCAAATCTTGTGAGCTACAAAATGATAGTCTTTTGTATTTTTATCTATCTGGTCATCTTGTGCGCCCACAGGTGTGATTTCACTGGTCAAATAATATTATAGTCAGACATTGTCTGATGACAGACTGTTATTCAGCTCAGGATGATGAGTGGTAAATAAAATCCAAGACTTAAAAAAAACTCTTTTGAGTCATTTGTGACAAAACGGTAAAAAATTAAAGATGCAAGGAAACTTACTAAGAATGAGATTTCAAGTCTGATCAAAAACAGTTCCATACTTTGAGATTAGAAGAAATGTTTTACAGACTTAAAATTCTCACTATCACAGGACTGACTGATTTTAAAGCGATAAGTAAAATTGGATCTTGTTTACTGTGGGTAATGTCAACTGAGATATCGGTCGATATAGCGGTCGACACTCAGTCGATAGTTGGTCGACACTCGGTTGATAGTCGGTCGACACTCGGTCGACACTTGGTCGATATTTAGTCGACACAGGGTCGATACTCGATTGACACTCGGTCGATATAGCGGTCGATAGTCAGTCGACACTCGGTCGAGACACAGTCGTTAGTCGTTCCAGATGTGTCTCGGCCAATATAGCTTTTTGTTCACCAACACTTGTTGCTATACACGCTATATCGACCGCTATGTCGACCGAGCCGTAAAATTTTCAGACTAAGGTTGTCTAAAATCAAACAGCCTTATAAAGTACTTACAGCCATGTAGGGTTTGCAACCTGCATCTACTGTTTTGGCTAATGAATCTACCAGTTGTCCACTGATTCCAAAATCACAGAGCTTAAAATTGCCATTTTCATCCACTAAAATATTGGATGGCTTGACATCTGTTAAAATGACAACAAGCACAACAATGTTACAGCTTTTTCCAAATTCTGAAGTAATAATATCTTAAGACTTGCTTGTGGAGTATCAGGTAATAAAGGTGAATGCAAGGATCAGAAAAATGCATTTAAATTAATAAATATAACTCCTCAATTTATAATCATTTTTTCACCTTAATTTCGGATTAGTAATTTTATTATTATACCTTGAGTTTGCTCATCACAGTTACGAATACTTTGTAACATTAAATTTTTTCTAATAATATTAAACTAATAAAAAAAGAGAATGTAAAGACCAATTAATGAACTTCAAAAAACTTTCTCCTTTTATTTGAACCATCGTATAAATTATCAAAACAAGAAATGAAGTAAATGTGCTTTTGAAACTATATTGCTATCAAGAACACTTGATAGTCAGATAGAAAACAATAAAGGCTGGATCAGATACCACCTAAGTTTATTCAAAATACAAGCAGAAAAATAGAAAGAAAACTAAAGAGGCGAAAAAAGAAAAAAAAAGGAAAATGAACAAGAATGATGATGAAAATTGCCAAACTCGTCCATGAGAACAAGTAGGTTTGTTTCTCACCTCTGTGAATTACTTTCAGTTTATCATGGAGGTAATTTAATGCATTCACCATCTATAAGAACAAGGTGACAGAATTCATTAAATGTGCGAATGTGACACTTGTCAATATCATTTTTTGAACAGTGTTGAGGCCCATCATTACTTACAGCAAAGGCTATTTGTCGTAAGACCTCCTCTGGAACTCTTCCATCAGGAGTAGCATACACTTTTCTGTAAAGTTTATCAAGTGATGCTTTCATTAACTCCATACAAATCCAAACATCTCCCTGGAAAAGACAAAACAATAATATACAGATTTAGCTAAGCTCCCATGCACAAATTTATAGTTTACCTCACACAATAAACTTTGTAACCATTGTAAAGAAAACCACTTGGAGTTGAGCCTGGGATAAGTTGAAAACTAGTAACTTGTCAGCGGATAACTTCAAAAAAACAACCTCTACGTGACGACACCTGAGTCTGCAATATGGTTATGTGATACTGGTCAGCAGATACCCTGTTTTGACAACTGTCAATAATATTGTTGACCACAACAAGGATGTGCAATATCAGGTTGCAGGTTCCCACACTAGCTGGAAAGTGCCAGATTTTCACATTGGTTGCCCTGTGGTGCGGACAGATGGGTGGACAGACGGACAGATATATAAGGTCATGTGACTACCAAAACTTCTCGGATGGATAGATAACCAAATTTTCTTAGCTATGGGGATCCCCTCGCAAAGCACGCGCATGAAGCTCTGCTAAAGTAACAATGTTAACATTATGAGGAACAAGATTTTTGGACCATGAAGTGTTGCTCCTCATGATCAAAGGCCTTAATACAAAATATGGTTTGTAAAAAATTTCACACAACTTCAACCTGAAATTATCAAACAGAATTAACTGTGTGGCTACAAAATCTGGTTGAATTATATGCATAGATTTCCTCTGTACAATTTTGGTTTGGTATAAACAATCATTTTGGACATCTTTCTACTAGGTTATTCAATAACATTGAAAGCTGGATGCACCTTTTAATAGTATTAATTTATTATGCAATCATTTGTAAGGCAAAAACAAAAACAACAAACCTCTCTAAACAAAGCACCATAAAAGTGAACGGTGTATGGACAGTCAGATACTCGCATAGATACATCCAGATCCATGAGAAGCCTTTTCTGTTCTGTAGAGTTTACATTGGCTCGTATCCTCTGTAAACAAGAGATAATATCAACATTCATGATGAGAACATGACCCTTCCTTACAATTAAAAGATTCCAGAGGCTTATAGCAGATTAGCTAATGAGGATATTTAGCAATTTGTTATCACACATTGATCATCATTATCCCATCAAAATACAGTTGCTGTTTCTACTTGGCCAATTCTTCAGAACCAACTGTTGCTGACCAAATTCGAAAGATGAGAGCAGTACACAATCAACAAGAAGGTATCAGGGTTGTCAAAAGTAGCCGGCTACCAGTGAAAATCGCTGCCTACTTGGTTAGTATGGGCCCACTACTCTGCTTGGCATTTCGTTACTGATGGCGTTTTTTAAATAAAATATCACTGGACTGGCCGCTAATACTTTGACAACTCAGCCATTTACTTCAAACCATTCTGACAACCCTGTGGAACACTGCAACCAATTTACAATCGCAACCTCAGCAGCCTAGCTGTTTTGGAATGAGTGAACAAAATGCTGATAAAGTTTACTGCTAACCGAAAAAAGAAAAAGCCCAGTTATTAAAACCAACCCTTTCAAAGACAAGTGAGTTTAAGATATCACAACAGTGACTTTGCGTCCTTTGAAACGTCAGCACAATTATTGCCAGAATGGCTTAATCATCACTGCTAACTTTCTTTGCACCCTGAGTTAGATGCTTCAGGGTTAAATGTTAAAGATCAAATTTGATTGATTTGACCTGTAACATAATGCTTCTGGACAAGGCCAATGCTAGTGCTCCAAGAAGCCTTAGATTTTAAATATCTAGACTGTGGCCTATAATTGACCACTGTCCGACATTACCTTGACTGCCATGATGTTCCCTGTTGGCTCATGAATCATCTTGTAAACAAATCCATATGCTCCATGGCCAAGCTCTTTTAATTCTTTCAAATCTTCAGCATTGCACTCAAATTCCTGGAGACAAGTGTACAGGACATTAGAGGTCATTTACATTCCTGGTACAGCAGCCTTACTGCAGGTAACAAAATTAATGTAGCAGTGTTCTCCCTAGGATTTTAAGGAGGCCAGGGGGTATTCTTACCGTAATTTTCAACAGTGTTTGTACAAAGCCTGTTGTATATGTAGCCTGAATAATAAAATTTTTGTACAGACGGTGAACAATGTGTAACCAAACACAGCAAGGCGGTAACCAATATGATCATTTCTCACAGAAGACCCCTTTGAGAAGCTCCTCGTTTTCGTTTTTTTTGTTCACTACAGTAATCCATTTAAGCTCCTCGAAGGGCCCTTGTGTTTGTAGGACAATTTCAAGATGCATGGCTGCTGTTCAGCAAAGTGAATGCATCAAAGGTTTGAGCATATTCATCCAACGTTAAATCACTTTTAAAAATAAATTATACGTCAACATAAGGTTTGATCTATTGGCTCAAATCTTTGATTTTTAAGCCAGGTGGGAATGATTTTCAAGTGAATTAAGCCACATGCGCGCCCCATCTAGCCTTTAATACCTAGGGAGAACACTGAGTTGAATCTCTATGCATATGTACGAGGACTATCCCTCGTACTACTTAGCAACCGGCCCTCATAAGCGACCACCTCCTATAAGTGGTCACAGATGCAAAACTACACCAAAATTTTCCCAGTAAAAGCCCTGCTGTTGGAACCTCTTGTGAGCAAGCGCAATGGGATGAAAATTTTATAATTTTACAATGCTTTTAACCACTTAAGCAACCAATCGTTTGACACATTTTCTGATCTCTTAGTACACTTTGTGTATGTTTATGTTACTCAGAATACTGTAAAATTCTGATTAGAAGCCCAGGGCTTATACAACTTTGTGTAAGGGGTTTTAAGAGAGCTTATGTTCCGGGGGGCTAATAACCAGACTAATTTTCAAAACAAGCTACATAGCAGTGCCAGAGCTGCTCTGTAGCAGCACTGATCGAAATACTTGTTGAATTTGATCCTTTATTAAGCTTCAAAACGTCATACAAAGTCAGATTCATGAATATATGAAAATCATACATGTGAACCACGGGATGAAGAATTAAATGAAAGTAGATCATTGAATTCATTTTAAGACAAGCTAGAGGGGGGCTTATATTTGGGGGGAGGGGAGGGCTTACAGTCTGATATATTTTTTTGCTTTCAGGTAGATGGGCCTATAAATGGGGGGCTTATAATAAGAAGTTTATACTATACGAAGAACTCCTAGTGGCAACATGGAACTAACACCAGCCTCCTCCTTTGGCGCTTCGTTTTTCGCAAGGTAGGGGCGAATGACTGGGAATGAACCACAAGGGACCATTGGAAGGGTACAGATGGCAGGCGAAACCCGTTGTCTCCTTCCCGCCTTCCTTTGCACGCACATTTTCATCAAAAGAGAGACGTCTGGGTACAAGGCAGGAAGTAACACATATTTTTTTTAATATCACTTAAATATTGGGCAACATATTTTTTTTCAAAGATGTGTTAAGACCTCCACAATTTTCAGAAGACTTCCTTTGGATTGATTCTTATGAGCAACCACCTCCCGTAGGTGATCATTAAGTTTTGAGTTGTTGCTTATGGAGGTTCAACTGAGTACACGTATGTTAACAGGTCAAAATAAAATTCAGATTAAAATTTTTTTATCCTAGGTTGATTCTCAATTTCTTTTGTCTCCTAACCATAATATTATTATTCATGAATAAGGGCTACGTGACAAAGAAAATTGAGAATCAACCTAGGTTAAAAAATTTTAACCTGAATTTTATTTTGACCTCTGTAACATGCATCGCAAAATCATGGAACCTATAATCAACTGACAGTCGAATATTTTATTCAGTTGTCTGCTCTTTAGCATTTAACAGGCCTCCACCTGAACACTTGAAAATACTGGGCAAATGCTATTCACTGTTATTCAGGAAAAATTGCTCAAAAACTATCGATTATGTTTTGACTGCAATTGTTTTTTCTTGTCAGTCAAGGCCATTTTATGTGTCAGTGACAGTACTTCATAACTGCAGTTTTGTTTCTGTGAAATCTTGGAAAAAAATAAGTTATTGTGATATTGCCTTTTTAGTACAGTACAAACCTTTCCATCAACAGTAAGTGTGGCTTTGTCTGAAAGATTCCTTGGTGGAGTGGTCCTGAAAAAGAGTAAAGAAAATTTAGTTGAAGCTCTTTGAAGGAGACACTTTCACGCTGGATGTAAAAACTATGACTGACACAACAAAAGCAAAACAATTAGAATGGGATACAACTTCATCTTCATATTTCAACATATTTCTCAGCTATAACAGTAGATTTTTTATGAGCAACAATTCCAATGTGAACATGAACTCTTTCAGTAAACTAGGTGCTAGCACTTACGATGGTGAGGAGGTAGGTGATGGATGGCCCTTTGAAAAATCAAGTTTTGGACCTTTGTGCTTCTTCTGCTTCTTTCCTGGAAAAAAAAAAACTTAGTCAATTCCCAGTCTTCTTTGTACCACAAGCTCAAAGTCCTTACTCAATGTATGTGTAGGTATCACTTTCTGTTACAGTACAGTGGTTTGTGGTAACTAGGCTTGACAACCATTTTTCTCAGATGTTTTGTTATTTTCCTATGATCCGATTGGTCAACTTTGGCTTAATGGCCCCCGTTACAGAACAGTAGTCGCCCTATAAGTGGGCCTTAATGTAATTTAGACGGGGTGAAATTTCTGACTAGCAGTCTCCATCACCAAATTACATTATCCCAGAGATCTCTCGGGGCCACAGCGAAATTTACAGCTCAAGTAATTAATTTTGCTCCCTTCCACAAAGGTGAGTACTGGTAAATATTGGCTCATTAATAATAGAAATATGAATCTTGCAGAACCTCACAAAGCTTGGGGAAAAGATCCAACAGTGGGAAATATGGGCAAAAGAGCTAAAGAAAACTAGGAAAAGAAGGCGAGAAATATTACTCTGACTTAACCAGGGCTGGAACACAGTCATCAGTTTTAACGGTCAAGGACAACTTTGCCCGTTAACTTGTGCAGAGTGAAGAGATCTTTCAAAACATATCAGAATTAGCTCAATTCGGTCAAGGACACTGGAGAAAAAGGCAAAAAACCATGTAACATTGACCCAAAAATTTCATGAAAATCTTGTTCCACTACCCACCTACCTTTCCTTTTATCTAATTCTAAGATCCTAAAACCTTTCCTAAAATCTTTTCCTACCAAAATGAAGTCTACTAAATGCCTAGCAAAACAAAAACATACCTCAGGCAAGAAAAGTGAAAATATAGGGGAGGAGAGAAAGCAAAAAGTAAAAGTCAAGACTGCTGTGTCACTTTTAAATGGACGTATACAAAAACACGACCCCGCCTACATGGACCACCTCTGTGGACCTGGTCCATGGACCTTATTGTGGACCCGGTGGACTAACCCCCGTGGACCACCCTTAATTTTTGAAGATGAATTTTTACCAAAGTTCTAAACGAATTTTAGGAACCTTAAATGGGCGAAAGCAAGAAAATGTTTTCTCAATCTGTACTACAAATCCTTCAATACAGACTTTGTTCCTTAAGGACAAAATGAAGGAGTAAGCGACATATTAGCAAGGGGTAAATGCCTTGTAGGCATACCAAACCCCCCTTTTCAATGCACTTACATAAAGGTGAAAACCCGTTTTGCGGAAAGCGTGAAGCTTGTTAACTCTTTCAGAGTTTTCAGGTGAGTAAGATTTGAAAAATATTATCAAATCACTTTGTTTTAAATTGTTGGTCAACAAAAAAGTGGGCCTCTGGGACCTGTGGAGGGGGGGGGGGTGTGAGTACACCTGATGCACCCCTGCTCCCTTTGGGCCTGCTATTTGAAGGGGACATGAGGAGGAGTAGGGAGGAAGAATTCACTTACACAGTTTTTGTGACATCGTGTTGCATGAAGATTGACACAAAAATGGCTGTGTAGAGAGGAACAGGTAATGCATGATGATTGAGTACCTACCCGAGACTTCCCTCCCCTCATAGCCCTTGGAAATGTTTATTAGTTGGCAAACATATTGAATCCTGCTCATGAATCAATGTGGTTGGTCAGACGCCTTACAAGTTTGCGGATGCTTACAGGTTGGTTCAAGTACATTGCCATTCATTCAAACGCGAAGACAAACAAAAGAGCTGCTAGGAGACTTCTTCCTCCCTATCACTCCTCCTGTTCCCTTCAAATATGGTTACTCCTTCATCAGAACTAAAACAAACCCATTGCATTGGTATGGGATTGAAAAAGATTTGAACAAGTGTTAAATATGAGGAGCCCATAACTCTGATAATAAATGCTGACCACAGTTTTGTCCATTTAAGGTTCCTAAAATTTCTTTAGACCTCTGGTTCATTCATCTTCAAAAATTAGAGGTGTTCCACAGGGGAAGTCCAACGACTGGGTCCACAAAGGGGTCCATGGAGAAGGGTTCCATGTTTTGTATACGTCCCTTTAAAACCCAAAACCTGTCTCAAAATTTTGCTTTCTGCACATGCCCAAACTTTGCACGCTAGTATTTTGCATCTGGATCAAAAGGCTGCGAAGTGTATGGCCTGTAAATGGTTTTATGGTAAGTTTTAGCTCTTTATAGCATGACAGTGACCAGAAAACTGCCTGACTAGCTTCAAAACTTGTTTTCTGGCAAAATTCCCAGGGGACAGAAGGCTATAACATTTCTTGTTACTGGCAAAATTTATTCTGCTTTGTAGTTCTTGGTGGAAATGAAAAATTTCAAAAATAAATTGTTGCAAGCACTCCATTCTTTCCCTGACTCTCTTTCTCACACCTCCTTCCTTACACATGTCAGTCGCATGTGACTTCTTGTGACATCCCCAAATGGAAAGCACGCTTACTGGCTACCTTTCATTTTATTACTATTGTGGAAGAATTAATCAGTGTGTAAGAGCCATGAAAAAATTTCTAGCTCCTCAAATTAAGTGGTCAGTTAATCAATGATGATTTGGACAATGTCTGTCACGCTGAATGCAAATTGGAGATTAAAGGTTTTAAAAACCTGGTTTTGATATGTTAATTTAACACGTTAATTTTTGGACAACAATGTAACGTAAGTCCAGAAAAAACACCACAGTTTGCAGGTAGCTTTAGTAATAACTTCCTCAAATTATAGAAAAATAGTATACAGTTGACTAACAATTTAAGTTGTCATACAAGGCATCATGCAAAATCTGAGAAAGAAATTCATATGTAAAGCTCGCATTGCTCATAATTTTAGCTTGACCGTTCATCAAAATAAGTTAAATCAAGATGGATTGCATTAAATGTAGGTTAGATATTATCTTCCTTTTTAACCAATTAAAGTAAGCTTAGATTTCTAGACAAACTTCCTGTTGTGTTGTTGAAGGGAAACAAATCAACTTAGTATAACAAACTGTCATTTTGTGCCTCGACACGCTACGAAGAAAAATAGACCAGCAAACTTTGCATCTGTTATGAAAAGCGAAGTGTGACATGGCAATCAGCGTGTCATAAACTTTGTCATCATGTAAGCTTAAACAAGCTTGTGAAGCTTATTTAAAAAGCTACATGAGGTTGGATGTCTCACTTACTTGCATTGTGATGGCACATTAAAGCAATGTTATTTTTACAGCTGTTGTCACGAAGAAAGCTGAACTAGACAGAAAATCACGTTGTTTTTTTCGTCCTACCTGTTTTCGGTGAACCTGACATGACTCGGGCTTCTTTCAGATCCGTAAGTTGGCACTAGGAAGCGAACACCTTCATATGAGAAAATTTAGCAAACTCAACAGAATCGAATCCGAAAAGAAAGAC